TTTTTTTTTTTTTTTGCAAAATACACAACATTCTTGATCAAATATAAAAAGAAACCATGATACCTTTGTCAATTCCTTGCTTCTCCGGGGCTCAAGAAGTACCAGGCTTGCAAGAAGCATAAGTCTTTTTGGGAGCATAATGATTCAAAAAAAAAAATCAATGACTTTTTCAATTGAAAAGGATTTTTAAATTGGGTTTTCATTTTATAGTTTAAAGCATAATAAGATGGTTTCTTTGTAAAAACAGTTTGTATTAAACACAAGTTACCATCCTAATGCAGCTGCTTCACACAAATTGTGAGCAAAAAGTTAACAAATAAGCCATCTAATACAGAAGTAATTTAGTAAATAAGCAATATGTCATTCATCATTTTCTAACATACATTAATATAAATCTAAAAATATTAAGCTATATAATTGCTTCAATAATGTGTATAGTTATTAGCCTACCCTCCAAAGTAACTCAAAGATGCACCAAATCTAAAGTAAGAGCTCTATTTAGTTGTAAAACTACCTGTTTTGATCAGCCAAAAGAATGTGCTCCTCCTCAGAAAATTAATGAAGTACATAAAAAAGTTGTTTAAATCAATTATTTAAATCAAGGCATTCCACTCTGCTTTAAATCATGATGTAAATCGCCCTGATTTACATCTATCCTGTTGCTAGCATGTGCAGTACAAGAAGAATTGCATAAGGATGATATAATAGGGAGCAGTGGTTTTCAGTGCACTATAGACTTTGTGAAGAAACCTAACCTAACAACATTTTTATTTTTGAAATACATGGTACATATAATTAGCTCAAGTGAAGCACTTTGCAGCAAGAATAACCCCTGAGCCTAGAAAACAAAGCACTACTTAGGTTCTCAAAATAATGTACACAAAAGAGTAGGTGCACTGGCTTTTGAAATGAGGGGTCTCATGACTGCATAACCACCCTCTGCTTAGCAAAATGAAATGAGCTAACTGAACAAGAAGGATTATTACTGGTGTCCCAAAAAGAGCAGTATTGGACAGTTTCTTCCCAGCCACTGGCTGGGAAGGAAAGACCAGAAAGTTATCTAGGAATTCAACAAGCTCACCCTGTTACTCTTCACTATTTGAAAAGAAATAAACTTAACTTGTTACATCTATAATTCTTCCTCCCTTCAGTATAGAAAGGGTGCTTATATGCATCCAGCCTGCTAAACTGGATCCGTATCTTTTGAATTTCCTTTCCAGTATGCATAGAGATTTGTTATTGGTGCAGTCTATTTGATCTCAGACATTTTGCTTCCTCTCTATGTTTTTGCTTGCTCCCACACACTTTCTTTAATTAGTTCCTATATTGTTTAATTCTCTTTAATTAGATTGTTGAGTTACATCAGAAACTCCACGTTACAATGACATGGGAGCTAATAGGGCTGAGATTTCACCCACTGCAGTCACTGTCAATACTTAGAGGACCACAAATACCCAAATAAATTCAAGGGGAAAAAAGTCTGTATTCTAGCCATCCTCAGAAGAGAAGGTAGACATGAATGGTAGATAGCAGGGTTCTTTTTCTGAATGGAAATCATTTCACCAACATTTTTCTGGACTTTTACTTTAACTTTCATCATGCAACTTTAGCATGAAATGCTGGTAAGTCAATACACACTCTGGACCTAAATTACTCAAAAGGTGATTCTGGGCCCCAGATTTCATGTGCGGTGCATTGGCCTGGCATTGACATGGGGACAATGCAGAATGCATATTCCTAAAACATGAAACCAATATTTTCATACTTGGGTGAATTTAGGTATCTGTCTCCATATTTAAATATCTAAATAGGAGTAGTCTGGACTCTGAACACCTGCAACCCATAATAAATGAATGAACTTGCAAGTGCTTGAAAATTCTGGAATTAAGCTTATTTTTATTTATTTATTTGCCTTATTTTGCCTAAACGTGCATGTGCACATGCACACACACGCGCGTGCACACACACACACATACACATGCATCTCCCCATCTAAATGTAGCATCTCAGACTACAACCTTGCACACCCTTAGGTATACACTTAAATGGAATCATGTGAATAGACTTGAGGTCAATAGGAATTATTTGCACAAGTTACTGAGAAGTAGGTAGCTATGTTTAGATTCAAGTCAGGCAGAAGGCACCTTATAGGCCAACTACATCAGAGATGTACAGCATGAGCTTTTATGAGTCTGAGCTCACTACATCAGATGACACAGGCAGGTGGAATCAGTCCTTGAGTTTGAAAAAAATCTGGTCCCAGTGTTAGAGTTTAAATTGTCATTGCATAAATATGCATCACTGTGTTGTTTCATTGAGCCTGCCTTCATCCAACATCTTCATTTACACAAGTGGAGGGGGACTACCTGCATGAGTGAAGTGAACAGAATTTGATTACCTCATTTTCGGAAAGCTTGGCTAGATAACCCTGGACAGTCTACTACATAGTTTGCCAAACAGCTATGCCCAGAACCACAGTCTAGGTGAAGAGGCACATAGTGTGTAGTTTGCTTTCTACTTAATTAAATGCTGGTAGCATGCCAATCCATGCGCTTGACAGAAAAGGGCTGACCAGAACTATATAGGTACATTTAATTTGTTTGTTCCCCCAGCCACATTGCTATCTTCTTCCTGCTAGAGAAATTTCCATGCCCCTCCATAAATGGGTTTGATACTGATCATACAAGGTGAAAGTCACCTGTCTCTAGAGGCCTAATACAAAGTCTAGGTTCACCAGGTCTTCAAACATGTGTTAAATTTCTCCCATTGAGTGTTTTGGGATCATTTATTACTTTGAAGGAAAGGTTCTTGTGCAACAGCTCAGCACTGAGCTATCAATTTGCAATGCCTCCTCTTTAAACTGTTAGCAAACTAGAGAGGGGGGAATAAAACAACATAGTACTCTTTTTTCTAGTGCCTTTCATTGAGATAGGCAAGAGCCACTTCCATTTGAGAGGCATGAGAGGAATCGGACAGAGCAGCTGTCAGAAGCAGTGCCAGAACTGGAATTCAGGCAGATCTGTGCCAACTGAAACAAAACTTGGCCTTCTTTACAGCATACAAGCATCAAATGAGAGGTATCTGTGTCTATTAAATCTAAGGCATGAGAATGTGAGTCACCAGCCTTCAGTATTTTGAACTAGTTGTCTATCAACATCAGCCTATGTTTGTTTTGCTCTTTGAAAACAGTTTACTTGTAGAGCGAGGGAAAATTAAATACCGTTTCTGTAGACTTCTGGAGACAGGAGGGAACTAGTAAGACTAGACAGGAAGGGGGTAGACAGACAGAATATGCTTTTCAGCCAGGGGGCAGGTTACTCCATGAATAGAGCATTGAACTGGAAGTCAGGAGGCCCAAGTCCTCTTCTAAGCTATACTACTGAACTGCCGTGTTACACTGCATTTATGTTAACAACTGCTATTAAAACTAGACATTTTTAAATCATGTCCAAATACCTTACATCTAAAGAGCTTTAAACAAACTGGCTAAGAAGCTCTGTGAACCATTAATATTGATTTTCAATACATTTTGATCACTGAGAAAAGTCTAGAGGACAAGAAAAGAGAAAAGATTATGCCAAAAATTAAAATAAAAGTAAACAGGGGGTGACCTGAGAACTATAGGCTACTTGATATAAAACTGAGGTAAAATAAAGTTGATTGAGGACCCAATAAAGAATTAATTGAGGATATATATGTAAGGCTAATGCATGTATTGCAGCACTACAATGCAACACAATCACAACATCAGCTGGAAGGAAATGAAACTTGGTGTTTTGAGATTACAGGTTTGATTAATAACACTGTGTATGCACTACACTTGGACTTCTAAGGCATCTGATTTGATACAGAATGATATCTTCATAAACAGAATGACACAAAGTCACTCTGGAAAAGGGGGCACCAACAAACACAAAGCATTTCAATACAGGCAAATGCAAAGTCATCTATATTGGAGCAAAGGAAACAGGCAAGATTTACAGAAAAGCCATGACTGAAAAAATTTTTGGAGTCAAAATGGATTATCAGCTGAACCCAAGTTCTCCAAACAGTGCTATGGCTAAAAGACTTCCAAACACAAACAAAGAAGCTTTGGGTTGGTGTATTCCATCTATATTGGCAATTAGTGTGACAACTAATAAAATAGTGCTCAGTACCACTGTCCATTCTTCAAGAGATGATTGGAAAAAAGGAAATCAAAGACTCTAATAGATGAGTCACAGGAGTAATTAAAGGAGTGGAAAACCTACCACATAGTATAAGGCAGATGAGGGCAAATATTTTCCTTCTCTTTGCATCAGTGTTTTCTTTGTCTCAGCTCCTAAGTTCTGGGTGTAAATCTAGATGAGTGAATGCTTTGGCATCTCTGAATGCAGCAGTAAGATTTTTACAGCATTGCCAACCAAAAAGATTAAGAAACCTCGCTTTCATTGATCTCAGACGGTTTCAGAAACTTTCACCAAGGCTTCAAGCAATTGTGGAGAAAGTACAATCAGCACTAGAAAAAACAAAGCTGCAATATTAACATACAGATGAGAACTTCAGAATTCAGTGATGCTTTGCTCTCCCCCACCGCCACCACCCGTCTCGTTACATATATGGCAGCCGAGATTTAAGAAATTCAAGGTTAGCATTTCTACAAGTGATCACTAATGTTGGGAGACCAATGGCCTTATTTTCAATGGTGTTTTGAACCCACTACTTCCGTTGAACTTAATGGGAGCTTCATGTGCCCAGTATTTCTGAAAAATCAGACCTGGTGCATGTCTCAGCTTAGGTGCTTGAGTTTAGTGGTCACTTTTGGAAATTCTGGCCCAGGTCACTAACTGAGAAATATACAAAGAGTTGGGAGCAGAAGAAAGAGCTCCTAACTGACACCACACTTTTCAAGCCAGTAGACAATTCTCCCTCTCTGGAACAAATGCCAGACAGACTGGCAGATTTTCTTTAAAAGGAAAAAAAAACAACAATCCTATCTGGCAGCTGTGGAATGGATAGGGAGCATAAAGAAGAGATTCCTTTGCTGTGCCTAATGCATGCTGCTTATCCAAATTAGCTACACAATTACTTTTATCAATGCAAAAATAGTTTAATGTTTTTTCTAGCGCACAGCACTTGAGAGAGACTTAAAATGCAGCGTAATTTGCTACAGTGTATGTCCTGAAGTGGTTTGCTAATGAAAAGAGGATTAAGTCTCCATTATTCTGAATTACCATTTTGTGAAATCACTAACAATATTTTCATTTATATACATATAACCCAAGAGGGAGAAATATTCCAGACATGCAAGTGATTAACAAATAAAATTCATTAGATAACATGCACTTTGCTCTCATTTATGATGAGAAAGATTAGGGTATAAAAATGCAGATCCCTGAATTTCTACCATCCTGTATCTGATGGTATATTTAAGTCCATGATTGAAAATTTGGAAGCATCTGCTTCTGAGTATAATATATACTTACTGGCTGGAAAAGTGGTGGATCCTGAAAATGAATTAGTGAGGGTTTGATCACGCACTGAGAGGTGGCACTGATTAAAAGTCTAATGACTGATTAGGAACTTCAAGTCCCATACCAAAAAGCCTCTCAGACAGTCTGGCCCTTAAAATAGAGCTACATGTTCTCAAAGTAAGGAGGAGGAGAATAGCCTGGGATAATACTTATCCCCTCTTGCATTGTATCGATCCTCAAGAGATCCCAGAAGAAAGCAGGCACAATTTCCCTCATTTTATATTTCAAGAAACTGAGGCACTGGGAAATGATGCAACTAGGCCAGAGTCACCCAGCTGCTCAGTGACAGAATTAAGAGAACTCAAGCTACCAGGCCCGAAGTCCAGTGTCCTTTCCACTGTCCTGGCTGCCTTCCCAGTTTGTGTAAAGCCATACTCAAAATTTCATGCTTAGACTAAAAGGAACATGCTTGATATGTTGGTATCTCCATTCCTTCTCACTGGAGCACACCTTAGTTTTCCCTCCAAAAATGTTGATCATTCCTAGGATTAAATATTGACATTGTAACAGTCTTCTGCAGACCCAGACAATGTGAAAGGTCCCATTTGTTAGAGGCCAGATGAGTATAACACCCGGGTGACCCCTATCCCAAGCAGCTTACCAGCCAAAGTGCTAGCAGTGCTCTCCCAAAGTCAATAGATGAAAACATGATTTTCACTGCCCCAGTGTTGAATGAGTATTAGACAAAATTTATCATCTTCATGTCGGTGATTGTCTCAAGGGCCAAGAAAAGAAATCCAACCAGTTTTCACCTCTAATCTTACTGAGGGGGTTGGCTTTAGGGAGCACTGTTCCCTTGGCTCTGTCTAGTATACACAGAACAGTCAATAAAAGAGGAGATTAGCTCTCTTGGTTCCTGGAGAGACACTCACTTTTCTATCTTTCTCCCCAAACAAATATTTGACAGTAATTAATTCCAGAGTTTGGGTAACAAGCCAGCTTTTCCTTTTCTTTTTTTTTTCTTAACCTGTATTGTTTCCTACTTAGTCTAGAATCAGATATGAAATATATATTTTATCAAGGGAAATTCAAGGAATTCTTCCTTGTATTCTAATTCAGCGTAATAATATCCCAAGATAACATTGGCATAGAATAAAAGAACATAGTTTACTCCAGAGTTCAGGGTGAATAATGGCTTCCCAGGAAACCAACAGACCTGTGTGCATCCCAGCAGAGGTTCCACTTTCGGAGTAGGAACCCAGCTTCAAACTGAAACAGATCATCATTTGCAGATATAATGATACAGTTTTGAGGTCTACACTTTAAGTGCAAGACTATGTGTCGTCAGCACCAGATATAATTATCTCTCTCGCTCTCATTTGGACACACTCTTAGAGAACCAGGACTAAAACCCCAGTCAAATTGTCTGCATCAAAATTACTGTTCTTTATTTCTTGAGCCTTGAGAGAGCTTTCCTAGCTGTCACCAATAGTAGGTCTTTTCTGCTCCATGTCAGCCACTAGCGAGCAGCCTGTTTCTTCAGGCCCCTCTCCAACCCCTCGTCACCATACAAAGTTAGGGCACATTATGTTTGAATGCCTGATGGCTTCAGATTATTTCCAGTGCTAAACAGGCATGTAGATGGTGTAATTCAGCCGCTGTAAAAAAAGCTCTCTCCTTAAAAATGACTAGTGTGGATACCAAAGTAGGACTTCATGAGACTAAGAGGTTTGTACAACAGTGCAAAACAAACCTGCTGGATACTGGAGTACTTATGATTCCTTACAAAACTCAGGGAACCACTTAGAGGAACATCACCAGGATGGTTCAGAATGTTTGACTGAAAGAGGCCAATAGGAATGAGCCAATTTCTAAACAAAGGTGCATACCTACATGCCAGACAAAAGGTGGCTCTGCAGTCCTGCCTGCTTTGGAATAGAAAATGGCCATTTCTGTTAGATTTTCTGATGGGGAATACCCAAATCAATGTTTGACTGACATCAAACTTAAAAAAAAACAACACTGTAATGAATGTCAAAAATTGTCATCCAGTTTGCTGGAAGAAGATTTCAGCAAAGGAAAACACAGTGAAAACTGACCACTTTCAACTCATAGTTGGCATGCAAATTCAGGGCATTTTACCTGCAAGGGAGATCTGTTTCTAGCTAGTGGGAGGCAGGATAGGTTGACAGTCAACTTCTGTCTTCTAGGAAACACCTACTGAATGCCTCTGCTCCCTCTTGCTTGAAAACATGACTGATAGCATGGCTCAGCAGGTCTATTGGAAGAACAGGCAGGCGTGTGAGAAAAAATACAAAAGAAACAACATTGGAGAGAAAGCAGGCAAGGAGAGCAGTTTGGAGTTTGACAAGAGTTAGTGTTTATCTAGACTTGCGACCTCTTTGAAAACTCTGTACTGCCATTAGGATGTTCACTCCAGTTAAGAGCACACCTTTTTCATATTAAAAACACACCCCTAGTGAAAATGAAGGAGGAGAGTAATGAGGAGCAGATCTGCTCGTAATGTCAAGCCATAGTAATTGTTGAATCAAGACATGACGAAGAGACATATGGGGGAAGTGGGGGGGAGGGGAAGGGAGCACAGCAAGCATGGAATTCCAAATCACGATAATCAGCAAAATCAGATTTCTTTTCATTTAGGCATTTTACTTTTTTTTTTTTTAACATAAATGAAAAAGATTGTTTTTGTCAACTTTTGTGAGGAAAAATAATTGTTTCCTGACCAACTCTAGTATTGGCTTATGAGTGCATATGGGAACTCAAGAAAAAATGAATAGCTCCAGCATGGTCTGAGATGGATCAATAGCATAACTAATAACATTGGGCATTTATACACATGCTCCTGGAGTGGGGTGGGGGCACTTTAACTAAAGCTCATTGAATGAATTCTAGTTAAAGTGCCCCTGCTACCATTTTTAAACAGATGTTGATATATGAGACACTGGGGTCTGCCGGAGTGTGGTAATGACCATGCTCCAATGCACTGTAACTGCAGCATGTCAGAGCAGCCTCACTGCTCATGTATCGGTGCCCATCATCACGTTTTTCCATGTGGACTAATTACATGTCCACTCTCAGAAGCCAACATAACAGTTTCCGCGAGGAAAACCCCATCACCATGGACAGAGCCATGAATGACACATGCCACCAGAGGCTGGGGGGACACAGAGACTGCTCACAGGCAGCAGCAGCAGTGGCGTGGCGGTGGTGAGCAGGGAGCTTCCGCAGGCTGCCACAGCAGAGTCGGCAGTGTCAGCGGCAGAGGGGTGGCAAGCACCACCTGGCGGTCAGCGACCACCCATGGACATCACCGCTGGTGTTGGCGGCGAGTGGGCAGGCAAGGGGTGGCGAGCGGCAACTGCCCACAGGTGCTGCCAGCAGTGGCAGTGGTGGCCAATCTCAGGGGGTAAATGTGCACCCGCGTGCACCCCCTACACGTTGCCAGTGGACAGAACTATCTGTGCCAATTAACCATTAGAGAAGGTTGTGCATGAAACAAAAACTCAGAACCAAACTAAGACAACTGTATTAGGGTTTTTTTTCAGACACACAGAGTATCAGCAAGTACTTTATGGATACTACAGTGAGAAGTGAGAAGAGCAGTCTTTGATCTCAAATGAAAATTAAGACATCTCTTTGGCTGACTATTGTTCCCTTTGTTTAGTTTGTAGCCTCTTCAAGTACACAGGTAGCCTTTCAGTTAGTTACATGGTTGCAAGTCCAGTGTTCCCAATATAGAAATTAGCATGTCCGGAAATAATCACTTCTGGTCAGTATGCAGAGCTGCCTTAAGTATTTTAAAGACTAGTAAGGACACCCCAAGTCTACACTGAGGGACGAATTCAACCCTTCTGGTCTCCTCTTAATAACTAACTATAAGTCCATCTTATATTCCTCTAGAATTCTTCTTTGAATGCTTTGGAGTGATATTGTCAGATGTAGTCAAGATTGACCCAATTTTGCACCCATGGAAGTCAATGGCAATATTGCCAGCAGGAGCAGAGTTGTGCCAATGCTGAACACTTTGGAAAAACCCCCTTGAGTTTTGTTTGCTTCATTTTTTACTACTGACATTTTTTTCCAACAAGCTGCTTCTACTTCTCTTTCAGGGAACCTTGAAGTGCAAAAAACCTCTAATTATGGGTCTGTGTCTTCCAAGGAACATGTGCATCCAAATACTGGTGCACTGGCAAACTTGCAGCCCATCGTACAAAATGTGGATGTCCCTTTACTGGAGAGGAATTTGTTTGCTCTGGCACTTCTCCAGCCTTATAATCCTTTTCTGATTTCATTTTAGTTACTTTCACATTTCAAACACAAAATAAGCACCTTGGAACAAGATGTCATCGGTGGGTTTGAACACCAGGAAGAAAAGTGCCTACGTGGCAGTCAAAGTTGACCCTGATGGGGATTATTATACCCCAGGCGCGTTTGAACTGGAGAGACTCTTCTGGCATGGCAGCCCAAAGTATACTCATGTCAATGAAGTCTGGCCCAATCTCTACATAGGAGATGAGTAAGTGATAAATATAACTCACTGGAGTCACATAGTATAAGCATTTCTATCTCTATCCTTTTAATTGGCACTTGATCGGCTGACAGAAGTCCAAACCTGTGCTCAGTGAAAGAATAAGGGAGCCTGCACCAGACCTTACAGGACATGTTAAAAGCAAAGATTTCCCTGCTCCAGTCCCAACTACTACTGCCCAAAGAGCATGGTTTAATAAGCTTTGAGGTTAGGGGGTCCACCCTTTACAAAGATCATAGTAAGAAGGTGGCAGTAAGGTGGGGGGCAGTATCTGGGGTAGTCGCATACTATTTTTAGGTGGCTTATTTCAAAGAAGTATGGTAATTTGTCACATATTACCAAGTGGAAGTCCCCCAGTGATATTAAATTAAGGGCACAGACAGGGTGCACTGGGTCAAGGAGTTGGGAAGGCTTAAACCTGAAATGAAATTGTTCAGCGTATCAGTGCTCAGAACCTGCGCAGGCAGCAGTGCTCCTCCGGGGTTTAAATCTGCTCAGAACTTAACCAAAGTGATCTTCAGCATGGGGGCTGGAATCTTTCTAACTCCCCTTCAACCTTAGGGACATGTCTCACTGATCCCAGCAAGTGAATCTGAAAATGCAGATAGAGCTCTGCTTAACATAGGACTAGTTGGGAACCAGCTGCAGCCTTCTGTTACAGAGAACTGACTCCCACAACTGGGAAATGCAGCCTACCAAATCTGACTATGCAGCAAACAAGCTTTTCATAACTGTTAGGCACTACTGGTGGGTCTCCCAGGTCCCCCCACACCCTTTCTTAACATGGCATATAACTTACATCATCACTAAAAGGTACAAGACACAGCTGCACAAATTCCAGAGTCCTCACAATATTTTTTTTAAAATGGTTCTTAACTTTGTCTGTTGCCAGCTTATAAAAATGGAAAGATATACAGCTTTGAAAGTTACTAGAGACCTAATACTGCCGACCAATTAATTCTGTGGCGCCAGAGGCAATAGAAAGACACATGAGAGATCTGGGCTTTTAGCATTCAAGGCCTGCCACTTTACTGGAGAACTTAAAACATTTTTCAGGCGGTGGGGATGGCCTAGCCAAAAGCTCAACAACAAGGAGAAAAATGATTTTTTTTTCTTGCCAGATACTTAACTCAGGATTCAGCCAAGGCAGATCAAGTTCTAATGGCTCACCTGGAACTTTCTTTCTTATTCCTTGTTTAAAATCAGCATCGTGCTTGGAAGGCTTCTCCTCTGATCTGGGTGAGAAAGCCTCAACTCCATCAGTTTGAACGGGTGTGTACCAAACAAGGTCACCAAAACAAGGATTTTGAACATCCACCATCCCTAGACATGGGCCACCAACTACCCCTAATCTAGCTATACCTTGCATTTTAATAATCTTTAGAAACTGTTACTAAGAATAGAATGTGCATGTCCACAAATTAAACAGGGAATTAATCACGTTCCCTAATTAAACAGGGAAACAGAACAACAACCTCACCTCTTTATGTGAGGGCATTCAGAGAAGATGTTGTTCACTTCGCTAAGCCCAATATTTAGGAAGCATTAGAGCTCTCTCTAATTCTATTTGTGGGGTGGGAGGGGAGGCGCTAAAGAACCAGTGAGAAAAGGGTGATCTGTCCAAAAAATAAACCAATTCCCCACCCTATTAAAAAGAAGGGAGGAGAGGCAAATTGAACAGATGATTGGGATGCACTGAAAGGGCAATAGATGGGTGAGGAATGGAAACAGATGAGGACAGCCTTCATCAGGCAAAGGGTCCACCAAAATTAGTAGTTTGGCTGGGGCTTTAGCTTATATAGGGCCAAATTCCATCCCCAGACTGTGTAACAACCTGACCTAATATCCAGTTTTCTCGATATTGGGCTGTGATACGATTCCCAGACAAAACTTAGTCTTGATTACAAGAATAAGCTGGCAGTAGAACATTTCATTCTAGGCAGGCAAAAGCCTGTGTTGCAGAGAAAATAATGAGATCCACAAGGCTCTTGGGTCAAAAACAAGGAAAAACAGGGCTGACCAAAAGCTGTGTTGTTCAACTCATCAGTGCCCTTTCTTTTAAGGCAGAATCATATGCCCAGTTAGCAAAAAGATACCATGGAGAAGGTAACAGATGTTGGGTGCATTTTGGATCCTGCTATATTAAGACTGGTCTTAAAAAAATTTAGTGGCACTCATTCATACAAATGAAATGAACACGCATACACACACACAGTTCATCTTCAGAACTCCACATCTGTGCCTCATTCCTGACTCCTGCATTTACAAGGTTAACAGGAATTGCAACTGCTTATGGAAATGCCAATTAATTACTCTGACTACATAACCACATCATCGTTCTAATGCAATGCAGGCTATCAAGGAGCCCTGTGAGGCCACTCAATCCTTTTGTTACAAGGCTTCACTGCAGATGTTGCCCAGAGGCAATGAAATCTCCATGAGGCCTGTCATGCCCAGAATAATCAAAGCCTCAAATCTAACATGCTGCGTTCAGCTCCAATTGAAGTTTTCCTCGAGTGAGTTCCAAAAGACTTTTAAGACCAGACCTTCCAGCCCACAGGAGCCATCCCAATGATAGGAACATAGCATATTCTGCCAAGCTTTTGATTCATCCATGACAAGGATTAGCACTAAAATTTAGATCATCTTCAAATGCAGAGGCCTTCTGTATGGATAAGAAATAGCTTTGGTTTGGTTCTTTTACTCACTGTTGTATGATGCAATGTAGATTCCATCTACAGGTACCTTTGTTGCCTGATTTACAACCACTGGATTCAACCCAAGCGCAAGGAAAACTGGATCTGTAAGAGGAAACTCAGCTCATAGTACTGAGCTAAAAAGTAGAGATGACTGCCAGACCACACCCATTTTTGGTTGTGGTCATAGGTTACATATATTAATAAAAGATGATTTTTTTAAACAATAAAATAGAAGCCACTTAAGATTTCAGCTAATGAAGATGAAGATCTTCCACAATTTTGGCCTTGTTCACTCTATTCTTGTTCTGGTTCGGACTCAAGTCTGAACTCTAACCAAAACTTAATTCAGTTAGAGTTGCAGGTGGCACATAACTAGTTTATGGAGTAGACAGGGGACTACATTAACTAAGCACATGTTGAAGACTTAGCCGCTGTTTGATTCTCTCCATCTCTCTCCTTTCCTTAAGGACTTTGTCTGGCAGAGACATCTTTGACTCATTCAAAATGGCTAATTTTCTCTTTAAAGGCAATTTATGTTAATTCAGAAGAAAGCAGATGGGGACCGGTTCAGTGCACTGTTCAGAACATACAGAGTCTAGAACCTCCACTGGTATTAAACATATAAAAAGAAAAATGTTCCAGATTGCATGATAGTGACCCATTAATTTAAAATATAAGACTAAGTCAGAAACATTCCACATTCATGCTTTTGCTATGGGGAGGGTGTAGGTGAGTCCCTTTGCCACTATGTAACAGCTACAAACCCTCAATCAGCAGGTATGCTTTTAGGAGCAAGCATATGGGTAAACCCTAATGTTCACCCCTCAACAGCTGACAGGAGTTGTGAGAACTTACTAGTTATTACTTCACAGAGGAAAAAAAATTGCTCAGGATCAGCCTGAACTGTGTGCACTTATAGAGACAGGAGGGACAAATGCTATACTACCTTTACTTAAACTTCAGCTGCTGGTGCTTCCCAAGTGCAGATGTCTAGGGAACTTCAGTTTAGTATTATTGGAAATGGTAAATACCTGCCCTTAATGAGGTCAGATTGCCAGCTTCTCTAAAGGAAGAAGCAGTGGTATGGTCTTAGGTGAGGAACCTTTATTTAACACCCACCATCTGGTGAATTCATGCCCTGCATTTAGGTTCCTTTGGTGGTTAAGAATTCTGACAAATTTGTGAAGAGACAATTTCTTCCACAATATTGTGATCTGGATATAGACTTGATGCAATGAAAGCACTTGTTTTTGTGGGTCAGAGTTCTCCTTCAGGAGACAGATAAAAGACAAGCAGATATGCCAGTATAGAAAGGGACCAGTGGCACCTTCACTAGATGGCTAACAGCCACGTTATCTTAACATTTCCTTCTCCCCAGATGATGTGGTTGAGCATCTTCTCCATAATGAGTGAGCGCTAGCTGAGCTATGCTCAATTCTGGTAAGAGAGAGAGTGCTAGGGGGCAGAGGAAGAACAAAAGGAAAGGTTTATTTACGTTGCTATAAGCACTAGTTAGCGCCTGCTGGGATGAGATTAAATTCACTGCAGTACTTGTCTTTTTGCTACTTTAAATTCAGATCAAGAGCAGCTAGAGCCTTAGATAAGCACATTTTTTGTCCTTGTAGGAGTCTTAGAGAAATAAATACTATTCTTCAGGGATTGAATGACATTTGAGTGGGTCAGTTTGCTTAATTCAGAAATAGGAAGCATATTTTGCTAAACACACATACCCTATTGTGAAAGCTATTTTATCTTCTCTTTCTCCTGCTTAAGTCCTTCCTGTATTCCCTTTTGCCATAGAACTTGGACTTGGGCAACATATTAATGGGTCCATTTGCCTCACTGTGTACTTCATGGGCTCCAATTCAGCAAAGCATTCAATCCCTGCCTAAAGTGTCTTGTTGAGTAGAACTAGACATAAGCACATGCTTAAGTTTCAGCATGTGCTTAAGTGCTTTGCTGACTCTGGGCCTCTGCTCCTCAAATATTAAAAGACTTGCTGATTTTTTACTCAGGAACCCTCTCTTTGTCCAATTCATCCCTTCACAGATTGAGAGGGACTGCAATTTTCATAATTATCTCCCAATACAGTACTTCACCTTCCCAGCTTTGAAACACATTCAAGGCAGACGCTGGAGATTGTAATGGCTTATGACACGTAAAAAAGAAATCAAGTGCTTAAAGCACAGATGGCCCAGAAGTACAAAATGAAAACAATTGCAGAGTAAGTCAAATGCTAATGGTTTCACCTACACTGGGCATTTTGAGTGAACTTTTCCTGGCATTGGC